GCCGAGTAATCTCCCGGTGCTTTTGCGGGGGAGCTTTTGCGCGCTTTCTTACTATCGTCGTCATTTGCGGGTAATCGGGGGACGGAGCAAGAATGGATCTGACTGTAGAAATAAAAATGGTATCGCAGGTTGGCATCGTGCGGAAGTACCTCTGTCATCTCTCGATTTCTTACAACCATGAGGCGCTCATCTCCTGTCTTGGTGTCTCTTGCAGCACTAACAGCAAGCCATATCATTCCTCGTCAAGAATCCATTGATTACAATGCTGCTCCACCGAATCTCTCCACTCTAGCTAATGCGTCGCTTTTCGACACATGGCGACCAAAGGCCCACGTTCTCCCAGCGTTTGGACAGATCGGAGACCCGTGTATGCACTACACCGACCCTGAAACCGGCCTCTTCCACGTGGGATACCTGCATCTGGGTGCATCAGGCGCGACTACAGACGATTTGGTCACATACAACGACCTGAACCCCAACTCCGAGCCGTTCATCCGCGCTGGCGGCATCAACGACCCCGTTGCTGTCTTCGACGGCAGCGTGATTGAGAGGGGAGTCAACGGCACACCAACTTTACTGTACACCAGCGTCAGCTTCTTACCAATCCAATGGACGATCCGGTATACCAAAGGAAGCGAGACACAGTCACTTGCTTTTGCTACGGATGGTGGACGTAACTTCACAAAATCAGAGTTCGGTCCTGTCATCCCTGACCCACCGTTTGCTGTCAACGTCACCGGTTTCCGCGATCCATTTGTGTTCCAGAACTCGCAGGTTGATGGCTTATTGGGCAAGCGCGATGGAACGTGGTATACCGTTATCTCGGGTGGCGTGCACGGAAAGGGACCGAGCCTCTTTTTGTACGCTCAATACGACGACGAAGACAGAGATTTGTTTCAAACCTGGGAGTACTTGGGCGAGTGGTGGCATGAAGCGGCGAATTCGACCTGGACGGATGAGGGTTGGGCTGGACGCTGGGGCTACAACTTTGAAGTCGCCAACTACTTTGCTTTGGACGAGCAGGGTGCTAACCCGGAAGGCGAGATCTTTGTTACAATCGGTGCGGAATGGAGTTACGAGCCTATTGTACCTCAAGTCTCGGACAACAGGGAGATGCTCTGGGTTGCCGGAAAGCAGGAGCTCGTCGACGGTAAACTGAAGTTTGAACCTACGATGGCTGGGCGACTCGATGCCGGACGATCTGCGTACGCTGCTGCTGGTAAAGTCCTTCCTGCGGACTCACAAGCCAGCAAATCAAGCGGCGCTCCGGATCGCTTCATCACGTACCTCTGGCTGACAGGCGACTTCTACGGCACCTTAACCGATGAGTTCCCCACTCCCCAGCAAAACTGGACAGGATCCCTACTCCTTCCCCGTGAACTCAGCGTCGGCCACCTAAACGTCATCGACAACGAGCTCTCCCGCGAGCAAGGTTCGTGGAGAGTAGATTGCGAAAATGACAACGGCACAGTCACGCTCGCGACCCTCCACCAGAAGATTGCCCGGGAACCGTACGCCGCATTCCAAGAGAATGCCACGAACGTCATAACCCAAACTGGCGGATCCATGGCAAACACGACGAAGTTCACCGAAAGCCCAAAGTCAAAGCACTGGATGATGACTGCCTCCATCACCTTCCCCTCTCGCTCTGACGACGTGCGTGCGGGCTTCACCATCCTCTCCGGACCCCAAGAATCCACAAACATCTACTACCAATTCAGCAACGAAAGCATGATCATCGACCGTTCGAACTCTTCCGCCGCGGCACAGACTACAAACGGTATCCCCACGGACAATGAATCGGGCAAGTTCCGCCTGTTTGATGTTGCGGGCGGACATGGAAATGAGACCATGGTTGAGACGCTGGATTTGACGATTGTGGTGGATGGTGGTGTTGTTGAGGTGCATGCGAATGATAGGTTTGCGGTTAGTACTTGGGTGAGGAGTTGGTATGGGGATAGCACGGATGTTAGTTTCTTTGTGGAGGGTGGGGAGGTGAGGTTTGGGGATGTGACGGTTTATGAGGGATTGGTTGATGCGTGGCCGCAGAGGAACTAGAGTGTTGGAATTTTTTTTTTTTAGAGTCTTAAGCTTTCACTCGTTAGAGTATGCTGCTATCGTGTAGAGTGTTGGAATATGGAGCTCCAGTGGGAGATGTATATAGTAAGAGCTGTTGTATGATACTGTACCCTATGTTGTTCAGATCTGTTGACTACAGTAATATTATCAGGTATTCGTTTAGACTGTCGAATGCGTTCATAAGTATCTGACTCAAGTCATCCGTCAGAAGGACGACTGAATGTTTCAGGGGAAATTTAGCTCAAGATCAGGCTCGCTCATGTATTGGGTTTCGGTGCTGGGGGAAACCGTGGGTAGCGGGGAAGATTACGTCAGCGACGTCGAGGATATCCCTCCTTTTGGCTAGCACTGCCGCGGTTGCACGAGAAGGCGCGGTGGCGCGCTCTCACCACGAGCGAAACACAGTCGGCCAGACGCAGCTCGCAATGAAATGTGTTTCTCATAGTCCCAAATCACCTACCTCTCCCATTCCGAATTCGCTCAGACACGTATAAGACATCGCGTATCTGGTTTCGTCCGAGTTCCTTTTCTGCTAAGCGCGTTGCTGCCTGCGCCTGCCTCAACGCGCGATATAAGCTCACAGTACCCTGGCACCTTTCACGCCCAACTGTGTCAGAAGCAATTCTCGTGACGCGCAATCGTCAGAACCTTCTCGTCGCCCTCCATCCACCGACACATCCGCATCCCCATTATCGAAAACCACAACGCAACCCCACCAACGAATCTCGACCCGTCCTACACGATGACCATGGCGACAGTTCGCGAAGAAAGAACCCTGTCCGACACTCCAAATGGACTCTTGCGCAGCCAACACGAGTACTCGTACCGACTCCCGACAGCCCCGCGTATCGTGGTTCCCCCGCCTACCCTCACCACCGATATGCCCGGCCTCTCCCTCGGTGGCGCATCTGGAGGGGATGCTGACATGAGCTTCTTGAATGAGCTGGACCTCGAGGACATCATACAGAAGAACACACTGCTGGAATGGGCCTATGAGCGGCGGAGAGAGGCGCAAATGATCTTGCCCTGGGTCTATCTCGGGCCCATGGTGGCAGCCAGGGACAAGGACTTCCTAGAGCGCGAGGGCATCACCATGGTGCTGGCTATCCGTGCGCAGGCTAAGAGCATGATGGGCGCGACGAATGCGGCTTCCCAGGTCTGCATGGAGGTGGGCAGCATCGAGGCGCCCAGCTTCTACAGCCTCACACCACAGTTCCCGGAAGCAGCGAGGCTCATCAATTCACATGTCGCACGAGTACGACAACATAGCTTGGAGACGACAGGACAAGCCACTCTCGGCAAAGTCCTGGTCTTTTGTGAATCGGGGAATGAGAAGTCGGCTGCAGTCGTTGCAGCCTACCTGATGCAGACGCTCCACGACATTGACTACATCAAGGCTATGCAGGTCTGCCAAGCGCAGCGCTTCTGCGTCAACTTCGACGACGTCTTGAAGAACATCCTGCGCGCTTACTGGGACATCATCGGTGCACGACGCTCTATCGCCACTTCGAACGCTCAAGCGACCCAGCAAAATGGTCTCGGCCACGGTTTCGCCGGATCGTTCTCGCTTCCTGTCCCGTCACTCAAGCACAAGCGTAGCGTCCAAGACATGCAGGACCACGATGAAGACACGGACATGGACAGTGGTATGGACGAGTCGGACGCGCTACGATTTGCAGGGCGTGATGTCACTCCCTTCCAGGATCGCTAGGTGTAGGCTCCTGGCTTCGGCGATTCTATTGATTTGTTTGTTAGGCGTTCCAGTAGCATTATACCCTGCATATCTCAAGGCGTTATATGGCGATGCGTCTGCATCTGAAAGGTTGGTTACGTGTGAGTTAATTCTGGAGCTCTGATGAGATGAGTGGATACGTGGGTTGGTTGCTCCTTCCATTCAGGCTGCCCGTAGTATCTGGTAGCGACACCAACGGGTCCAAATTTTCATCATACACGGCCCTTGCGCCTTCACACCACTTTGCGCTCTGCAACTCATGCCTGTCCTCCTACTTCAGACTGTGTACAGTCACTTCCAAGGTCGTCAATTATGCGTCTGCATCGTGACACCCCGAACAGGTAGCTACCTAGGTAGGTATGGCACCTTCCCTTGGCTCGCCAGTTGAACCAGTGTTAATCATCGGGCAAACAGGTTCATCTGCGACAACCATGGACGCACCAGCAGAGACGAATGTCTTCCATGGTGAAGCATCTCGCTCCGATATCATTTCCCAAAGAAATCATTGACTATTACTGCTCTTCTCCACTCGCAGGTCGAGATGTTAGCGAATCATTACAGCGCCTAGTGGCTGCCTTATCTTTAAGAGTCACTGTGTTCGCACGTGGCTGTGGCTCTTGCAATATTGTTTGACCCTGGCAGTACCGCCCCCATGATGGCCGCTGACTTTCACTTTGTATTGACAGGGCTGCTATTGCACGCTAGACGCGTAGCAGTCACGATGCGGTGTCATAAAGGCCCAAACATGGTGGATGCGGTGAACTCTACGGTCACCACTTACCAATATCCCTCATCTTCTTCGTTCACAACGGGCTAGAACGCATCGATACCCAATCATCGCTCACATCATTCTAAAGTTCACGATATGCCTTATAGCCTCCGAGATCTAGCCAAATTGAAAAAGCCTGCACGCTACAGGTCCACCGCTGACGAAGAGTCCACTGCCCCAGAACCAGCTTCTAGCGACCAAGGTACAGACCTGAGCGACCAAGATGAGGAAACCCACTCCCAAGGACCTTCGCGCACAAATACGCCGGCCCCGAACCCAGACTCACTTAGATCTTCGTCTTTCACTAACGACGACGTTTATCTCACACCACACCCATTTTCGCCGCTCTTCATGTCCAACGCACCCCACCCCGCGCCAACAAGCGCAAGCAATCCACCAAACTCCCAAGAGAGTCGCAAAATGGCAAACATCAAGTACGTAACGAAACGCTCTGGCGACGAACAGCAGCCCCAAGCAGCGCCAGTAGTACGCGACTTCGCCATGCGCCCTAGCAGGACCTCTCAGCGCGCAGCAGCTTCTGAACCCGAACCTGAGCCCACACATGTCCCTCAGAAGCCAGCGGCGTTCCCTTCGCTACCAGCCAACACTCCACCACCGCCGTTTGACCCGAAATTCTCGGGTCATGGTATGAGAGAGCTGATGGCGGCTATCGAGACCGGCGACAAGACGCGCATGGAACACATCAAAGACCACTTCAAGATTGAATACGAGGCGGGTAAAGATCCCTGGTATGTGGCCTTGAGGCGTCGCTGGGACCCTAAGATGGTCGATTCCAAGGTACGTGAAAACTGAACACCCTGGAGCCGACGTTGGCCTTAGACCGCCTACTTTGCATGTTTCCATCTTGATGTAGGCTCTGCAATTATTCATGAGGCTAACATACAATGGAGGTCACATTCGAATCTCTATGGACATCACTACGCCAGACCATCATCGAGCAGATAAAGGACGACTTCATTCCCGGCACCTATATCAGTCGCTTCTACCCCGTATGCTGCATTCTGAGCCTCTCCAAGGCGAAGCTGGATACGATTATGGCAGAGAACGCCGCAGTATGGGAGACCGAGGCTGAGATCCCACAATACTTCAAAGACTACAGAAAACGATACTCCAATGCCATCATCGATCCGGATGAGCCTCCCCCCACCGAAGTAGTGAGGGCGATCAGGTTCTTGAGACAGCAGAGGCTTCCTGTTAGTTTGTTGGGCGAGTGGCAGGCACTGCCGGGACCTGAAGTATTTCACCATCCTCACATGTTTCACCTTCCCACTGTACAACGTAGTAACGATCGGTAGGCGTTTCATCAGCCTTCAGATAATGAAGTAGCAGAATCAATGGATGAAGTTAACCCGGTTTTCCGTTCTCAAAAGCGTAAAAGTAAACAACCAAACCACCTTTCGTGGAGACAGACCCGCAAGCTGTTAAAACGTGCTGAAGGACGGGAGGTTCGACAAGCCGCAGAAAGGCAAGAAGCATCTAAAAAGCGGCGGCAAGAGCGATGCCAAAAGTGTGACAAGGAAGGCCATACATTGTTGGAACTCGACGAGAGAGGAGTATATAAAGTAAGTAACCCGTGCCCCCAGCCTTGTCGAGCGCACGAAATAACTGAGCTGACCCTATCAAAAGTGTCCCGCGCGCCGACAAGAAGTCCTGCAACACCAGACAGAAGTCGACACCCTCCGCGCACAAGGCAACGCTGAATATGCAGCGCTCGATCAACGTGAGCAAGAAGACCACACAATCAAAAGCCACACTTCCTAACCTACCTTAGCCCCCGGTCCCATGGACGCCGCCCCACTCCTCGAATACTTTCACAAATTGAAAGCCAACCCAAACTCAAATCCATGCCTCGCCCGGCAAGCAAACCCAGCCGCACACAATCCATACATGTCTACAGACCCCAGAGACCCATTCTATCTACTAGATTGCTTCGGACAACTTCTGACTCCTCCACCGAGTCCCTTTACCAAAGCGGGTTCAGCGAAAAGCAGTTTCTCAGGCAGTCTCTCAGACATGGGGGAGCGCTATAGCACACCGTCCCCACTGCTACAAGAATTGTCCGCGTACACACTGCCAGATCCGCCCGTTTGGCCGAATGCGGATCACTTAGCTGGTGTACGTATGCCTGTGCAAGAACAACAACAACAACAACAACAACAAACCTCGCAGCAATCTGGACCGGCGCGACACGTACCGGCGCAACACGTACCGGCGCAACAAATTTCGGCACAGAATCTACCGGCACAGCATCCACAAGCACAACCCATACTAGCACCCCACATACCCAAGAAACGCGGCCCATATAAGACAAAGGACAAGTCTCTTAAAGCGGCTAGGATCTCGCCGGAAAACAGAGTAGTGGGTAGAGGCGGCATGGTCAGTTTGGGTCACTCGAAAGAGGTGACGGATATGCTCAAGGCGCAGGCAGAGGCGCAGGCACAAGCATCATCACAGGCGCAGGTACAAACACCGGTGCAAACACAACTTCAAGCACAAGTCCAACTCCAACCCCAAGCACCGGCACAGCCTCGGAACGAGGAAGTACAGAAGGAAGTTGAGACGAAGCTAGATACGCCGCTGTTAACAGATACCACATCGATAGATGAGAATAAGAATGAGCCGATGGATAGAGGTGCGGTACTGCCGCCGTGTCCGTTCACGAATCAGACGGGTACAGCGACAGTGCAGGAGCAGGGAGATGTGTCGATGGTGGGTAAGACAGCGGACGGCCGTGAGAAGGGGAAGGGGAGGGCGGTGCAGATGTAGGTGGAGGAGGACGAGGTGCTGGAGACGGATCTCCCGCTGTGTTAGAACATGAGATGGTGGTTTAGACTAGGGGTTTGGATGGGAAGAGGTATCGTATCGCATCGTTAGAGACACCCAACACTCATATTGTTAGGTCTCGATACCCAATACCATCATTGATTAGCATTCAGATGTGTTTCTGTACACTTCACGTCACCGTAATCGCAACGTGTGTTAAAGCGTGAATATTTTCATTCTTGATCCAAGTGGGTATAATGCGTCCGTCATCTATATCGTTTCCAAAAACCTTCCCGCCAGAACTCCTTGCCACGACCTCCATTCGGCATCCGTTAATGCAGATGTCAATCAGCTAAACTGATCGCCATGCTCACTCTCGCCTCCAACACGGCGCCCAGCTATCCTTCCTTGGCTCAACTTCCACCGCCACCGTCGTTCACGCTCGTCCTTCTCCCTCTGTTCTCGTTGAGCTTTCTTACGTTCGTATACAGCGCGGACGGTGCGTTTTGTGCGTTCAGCGCCTTCACTGTAGTTGGCACGAGCGAGATTCACAACACTATCGATTTGCTCGGGTGTGTAGACGAAATTCCAGGTCGACATGAAATCGCTGACCTTGGGGTCAACACCGGGCACCTTTGGGTTGGCGAGGAAGGGGAAGTAGATGACGGTGATGCCAGAGGCAGGGTGCATGAGTTCCCAGTCCTCGTCCACTTGTTTCGAAATTGGGTGTTCAGTGTCAGATTCGCGCTCTTCGGTGGTACCGACCCAGATGTTGCAGTAGCCTAGGTCTTTGCTCTTCTTGCTGTCCTTGTTTTCGTCGGCGCTTTTGTCTTTGGCTTCTTCGAATTTGGTTTGGGCTTGTTGTTCGGTCTTGGCTTGTGCTCGTTCGAGATCTTCCTGGAGGTCTTCCATGGGTTCGTTGTCTGGTGGCCAGCCAGCGCCGACGGGCCATCCCTTGATGCCGCGCTGGCGGGCGTAACCATCAGCAACCTTGAGCCAGTTGTCGGTTTTGACATCGGCGGAAGCGTCGAAAGCGACGAGAATGTCAACGTTGCGTCCAGGTCGGAGAAGAGGATAGATGGGTAGATTGTTGGACATTCCCGCATCCATGAACTGGAAGTTCTTTTGTTCGAAGATGCTTTCAGGACATGATGGGGGGAGAAGCTCGCGCATACCGAGGGCGTAGTTGGGCATGGCGGCAGGGTCGATCGGATGTACTTTGACGAGATCATCATCGCGCTCAGCGATCATGGCGTCAATACTGCTGCCGAGTCCTGTGATACTGCGCATGAGGGGTCGGATCTCTCGGTAGTAGTGTGAGAGGGTCGCACAAAAGGCAGATCCCCAGATACCCATGAGCAACGGAACGCGCACTTCGGGCAGAGCCAGGCCATTCTCCCGCCAGACTGTGCGTCCATTTTCGAACTGACGGCCCATTGCCCAGGTGGGTATGCCAGAAGAGAGCTCCTCGCACCACATCTCGTACGGCGTGAATTCGAACCATTGGAACCAAGCTTCTTTTCTTGCCTTTGCTTCGGCTGCGATGCGGTCTGTTGTGTCTCCTTGCTCGGCGAGCGGTATTTCGTGCCGTACCGCAGTGTAGATGGGTAGTGGATGTGCTCCGTTGTCCGTATAGCGTCGCTGGTTCGAGACCTTGAAGTCGTATTCGCTGACAGAGAGTTCGCCTTTAGGTACGAGCAGGCGGGCGGCGAGTAGTGCGCCGTAGATGTCAACCAATCCGAAGTCAGCATCCGGGATGCCCTTTGCCTTCTCGACAAGTCCGCTCAGGAGATATTTGTTGGTGGGTGCGCTGACAAGTAGTTCGAGCGCATCGGCCGGGAAGGCAATGTGCACGCCGAGGCGGTTCTTGAGGTGTCTGATCATGCGAGCGTGGCTACGTTGGGTGAGGTCCGAGTAGTAGAGGGTCTGTAGCCAGCAGCTGCCACTGACACCAGCCGTGTAGGTGACGCAGTCGAAGAGGCCATGTTCCTTCGAGGAGAGGTACGACGATGTGCCTGCCACGAGCGCACGCAACCCTCCACCAGAACCGCACATGGCAATGACGGGCACGTCATCGGGATGTATCTGCGCTTCGGGAATGTCGAGGTATCGCGCAAGTGCGGCCTTGGTGAACTGAGCCCTCTGCTTCAGAAATGCCTTTTCTTCCTCACACAGCTCGTCCGAAACCCTCACAGAGGCATCCCATATGATCTCGGGGTTGATCTCAGGATCATTGGCTTCGTACCAGATCTCTTCGGCGAGCGAGCCCGGTGCCATGGAGAGCTCATCCTGGAGTTTGCGGATGAAGCCAGGGAGGACCTTGACCCAATTCGGCACGATGTAGTCGATGATGGTATCACCGAGCTTGGAAGGCGACGGGGAGGCGGGGAACTTGCTCGTGATGGTCTGCCAGGCTGACTTGCTCTGGCCGGCTTCCTCGTCCTCCTCGCTGTAGCCCTTGGCAACACGCGTCTGCGATGGCGCGTCCTGCTCACCTGACTTGTGCTCGCCTTCCTCATTCACCTGCCTCTCGGCGTCTCCGACCGAAGTGGTCTCGGTTTGTTTGTCATTGCCGCCGAAGAAGTATCGCTTGAGGGAAGGCGCGTCTAGATGGATGGGACGGAAGAGTGGGTACGGCGACGACGCAGAAGAGAGATAGCCAGTCGCAGCAGTCGCGAGGAGACACGGAGGACCGTACCGCAGGCCGAGGGTAGCAGCCTTGGATCGCTGGGAGAACGGGTGCTTCGTGTGCAGGCTGGCGCTATTAGCAGGGGCATACAATGGGTGGTGTGTTAGCTTACCCACGACGCGTCCCCCGCAGCGAGAAATGGCCCAGGTTGCGCGTGTTCCTATAGCCGGCCATGCGCGTAATTGAGTCAGAAAAGGCAATGGGAGTGGGATGGAGGTGCCGTGCGAGCCTGGCACATGGGGAAATGCGCAAAGCCCACCGTCGCCCATGGGAATGCGTTAAGCATGACGGAGCATGTAACCTGCTTTGAGCCCGCAAAATTCCGCCAGAACTGGTTTCGGCATGACGCCAGCCGAATCACTGCCCGCTCAACGTCTGCCAAGCCATGCAGGAACGCTGAATCTGCCGCCAATCAACCCATGTCTCCACTATCCACTTCAAAGACACCACCTGCATCAGGATGTGCGACTTTCACGTACTACACGTATTCGGTCCTTGCACACCGTCGGTCAACGGGTTCTGCTAGTATCACGTCAGCCGCTTTGGTTGCTCACAGACAGACATGCTTCAGCACCCATTCGCTACCAGCATACAGATGTCTTTATTTTCGACTGATGCAACAACAGTCATTGAGACTGCAGCTTTCTCCAGTTTCCTGCCAATCCTGACGCGCTTGGTATGACTAATCCTACTCTCCAGTAAGAGTGCGGAGAATTCCCAATCCCCTCACTCACCTGTATGTACCTCAGAGCATATCGAACATGACAAGTAAAGGGTATCATGAGTCGGAACATCTCCCTTCTCTCACCTCTCATCCTGAGATCGGGCTGTATGTCATGCCTCGGGACGCTACTTAAGCTCTCTCAACTCAAGCCTTCTTCTTCTTCTCCTCTACAATCCACTCTCATCGACCATACTTTCTCTTGAATCATTGATACGCCCAATACTCTTTCAGCTCGATTGGGCAGCTTGTTCCTGATTCAACTCGTACAATAGCCTCCAAGATACGATGGCATTTCGAGCATCGACAAGACCGCCTGGTCGGAGCCAAACACCTTCCCAGAAACGGGACCTTATCGCCATGCACAATGCGACAATTGACGAAGAACTTGCCAACAACCGCTGGTATGCCTTGAAGCAAGAGGAGGTCAAGGTCTTGGTCAAAGAATTGTGTGACAAGCTCACGAGTGCGATGCAGAAGTATTCGTCCGTCGACCAACGCTTCCAGGATTTGATTGATGCAGCAAAAATCGCAAGAAAACTACCTGACATCAGGCATTACAGTGTGGCAGTACTTGGCGAGCAAGGTATTGGCAAGAGCTCCCTCATCAACGCACTACTCGATCGAGGCCTTCTGGACCGATCAGGTTCGTCAAAAGCATGCACCGCTTATGCAACTGTACTTGAGTATAAGCCCGGAGCTACTGACCACACCACTCTGAGCGATCTTCTAGTTGTGTTCTTCACCAAAGAGGAGATCCGAGATTCTATCAAGGAACAAATGAATCACTGGGTCGAGGTCTATCCTGGCGTTGATGTTAATCGCCAGCCCCTCCGAGGCGAAGACGAAAACGATCCCGACGACGAGATTGCTACTCCAATGCCACATAAAAAGTTATCCAAGACGATGTCGCGTGCAATCGCTACTGCAAAAGAATTCTTCGAGATCATCTTCAATGTGCAGAAAGATAAGCAAGCAGGTGTCGAGCTTGAGAGGGAACTCTATCACACGAACATCAAAGAGGGAAACTTCTTGAACGATTGTTGCAGACGAGCCAATGATCGATTCACCCAACTTGCCACAGAGATGAGCGAGGTGAACCTTGAAACTCGGACCGCACATTTCAAGAACATTCCTGACACCAGGCTTGGGAGGAAAACAAGTAAGATCAAGGAGCTGTGGCCGTTCGTGAAGGTTGTGACCATTGCGACTGGTCACATACTATTCCGACATGGTTTACGTCTCTTTGACTTGCCAGGTAAGTCAACAGGTATCTTAGGACGACGTCAAGCTGACGAGAATAGGTTATGGTGATATGAGTCAGTTGCGTGAAGGCGTCATCAACAGCTTCCGCTGGAAGGCTGACTTCGAGATGGTGGTTGCGCCATGTTCTCGACTGCAGACCAGTGTCCTACATGATGAATATATTGATCGATCGATCCACCTCAAAGGAGCGAACAAGACTATATTAGTCATGAACAAGTCCGATGTCAGCTGAAGCCTTTGCTCTACTGGAGTATCCAACTGACATGTCTTTCAGGAACTCATCAACGAAGACAACATGGGCACACAGATTCGACAGATCAACGAACACCCATTCCCAGCTCTGAACGCACGATTAGAGACCATTGACAGTCTCTACGAAGAGGGGGATGCCGATGATTATGTCATCTCCGACATGCTAGACGATTTACTGAGAGAAGCCACGATTGCTTACATAAAGTATGAGACAGCAAATGTGCAGAGACAAATGCAGCCTAAGGGAATCAAGGTTTTCTCGGTATCCGCACTCGCCTACACCTCATCGAGAAGTCGCATTCAGAGAGACACTCCAATTCTTGACGATACTACGGCCGGTATCTACGCGTTGAGACACTTCCTTGCTACGTTGTCGGCGACCACCAACTACCAGAATTTCTATGAACATGTTCACGAAAAGCTACCATCATTCCGAAGACAAGCTGAACGACCTTTGGAGAAGCACATAGAAGACAAGAGCTATGCTAAGATGCGACGCGACTTGAAGGCTCAGATCGGACCACTTCGGAACACCTTAAAAGATTTGACTGGCAGTCCCCTGCAGTCTCTGGTAGGAAAGCCATGGTCTCAAAACGAGAAACAAAGTATCATAAGTGGCATACAGCGGCTAGTGCAGAACTCATGGGTTCATCCTTTGATCTACTACCCGAGCTTTGCAAAAATGCTTGCGGAGAACGGCAAACCAGTCTCCGGACAATTTAAGGGTTACAACATGAACTACGAGCTCCTTGGTACCATGAAGGGGTTTCTGGACAAATGGTATAACAACTTGGACGCCAGCACCGCGGACTTCGCTATGAGTTTGTGTAGGGTGCTTCAAAAGCTGTTGCAGGAAACTCGATCGGCCATCTCCCAGTCATCCGCACACTCGGCTCTGAAGCTAAGAGCTACTGAAGAGTTGGCCCTCGTAGAACGACGCATCCAAGCGGCATATGACATGCTGCTCGCTAGTCTTCGCGTCTCACTTGGAGAGACCCATCTGCGATTTACCACGGAGATCGATATCTACTGTCCCATAGCAACTGCAATGAAGGCATCCTACGACCGAGTCTCCGATCGAAATCTGGTTGGCGCTGGCCCAGGAATCTACAAAAGACAACGACAAGCTCTGCAGAACTCGATCATCGGCAACCCAATCTTTGGAAACTATGGCTATGGTCCCCCCAGTGAGGCATTGCGTCCGCTTCTCAAGAACATCGAGGAAAAAATCCAAACCCAGCAGAGAGATGCGTGGAAGACCGATTGCGAGGCCTTCGTCACCGGCGCCGTTGAGCTAGTTGAGGGGTTCTCGAGCACTGCTGAACAGCTTCTCATGAATTCCTCGTATGTGACCGAAGAGCACAAACAGGCTCGTGGCGAGCTGAGGAAGCTACTCAATGATTTCGATATGAGCCTTGAAGATATCCAGGGCCGATTCATCGGAGAAGAGGAGCACACTGGAAAGAAGGTCAAGCGCGAGGAGACGGAAGACGAGGCATTAGTCGCACCATCTGCTCTCGATCCGCTGATCCCTTCAGTACCGATCTCGCAGGATGAACGTTGGACTCAGTTCCGCGAGTGGTTTGGTGGCGGTCGCCCTGGACAGTGATAGTGAACTGCGTTTTGTCTTGACTTGCAGATTGGATGCGTATGCGTCACATGGCTTCATTTCCTGCTTTCACCATTACTCCTTCGATTTTGTCTTTTCCCGCGTTTTCATGACTTGAGAAGTCCATCAGCTCGGCAAGCGACCATCATTACTCCATCTTCATTCTTTCAAGTATCATCGATGCCCTGACGAGCATTTCACGTGCATGGAATGAAAAGCATAATGGCTTCTGCGCATATAGTTTACTCACTTAGTACTCAATTGTATACCCTTGTACAACATCCGTCTGTGCTCATATGCGCCACAGTGGTACTCGAATGCAAGGCGCATACGCGTCGCCGAAACATATGTGATACGCAGACAGCGGGTTTCCGGTGACATGCGAGGCGGATTAGCGCATGTACCCGCTGTGACAAACGTCATTCTGGGGTATCAAAGCCCGCAGATAAATTGACCGCCGTGCAGTTCTACATATTACAAGCATGCGTTGCGTGAACCCACGATGAGTAACTCGACTGCGCGGCTTATCGTAAAGTGAAAGGTGTCGAGATGATCTACGCTGGACCCTGGCCGTCTTAGCGTTGCCTCCGCGACAGCTCTCCGCAAGCATCCCCTCCCACATCATCCTATACCGCGGCGTCGTATTCCCCCATTGGATATTCTTTCGTTTGTACAAACATATGCTGTACTTCATGTTCGCTTCATTATTACCCGCCCGTTTGATATAATCGAGGTCGTCCTCGCCGCCGAACGCGCGTACACGTAGCCCTCGAGGCAGTTGCGCATCTATCCAGCAGTCGCCATGGTCGCCCCTCGGAAAGCCGCGCTCCTGGAGGAGAGCGCGGAGGTCGAAGTTCTCTTCGCCAACATGGAGAAGATGAAGACCCTCACCAAAAAGATTCAAGGCTCCGTCAATAGGCTCGATGCGAGCGGAAAGGCAGTCCAGGAAGCAATCGGCCCAATCTACGGCAACACGCAAAAGCTACAGATAGCGAACAACAACGTCGACCGTATAATAGACGCGATCGACCGCCTCCGAGCCCCGCGCGAGGAAAGTGCAAAGGAAGAGAGGATTATCCGCGCCGGACCTGGACGAGGAGACCTGGACGGCTACATTGCTTCGCTCGACCGCACCAACATGAGTCTCGCAGACCTCAAGCGCACCAACCTTCGCTCCAACGAACAGGCCATTGCAGAGCTTAGTGGGCTCTTGAAGTTGGGCAACAAGCAATTGGAGGATGTGTTCCGCGGCATACTGCAGGACAGCGCGAGAGAAAAGGTTCAGGCCTTGGAATACGTCGCAAAGCGTATGTCACTCATGTACTGCGGTTAGGGAGATACTGACACTGCATAGAAAATCCCTTCCCTCGCATGCCTCAAGATAAGCTCCAGAGCCTGCGCAGCATCAACTCGCACATTTCCAAGTCCTTCGCCCAGTTATCGCAGATCGATCTTTCGCAGACCCCCACACGAAGAATATACGCAGACGTCCGGGGCGAATACCTTGAGAGCGCACTGAGGAGTCTCATGCAGGCGACCATCAGCACAGCCAGGAAGGTGCAGGCAGATGCGCTGTACAAGAAGGGTACTAATGGTATCGGCACATACGTCCAAGCGATAGAGGGCCTGTTCGTGGCGGAGTTCGACAACCTGAATTACGTCTTCGACAGAGAGGAATGGGCCGATGTCTACGAGTCAACGTGCCAGGTCCCGCTGCAGGACTTTAGCAAGACCCTACGCGAGCTGAACGGGCATATTCAGAAGAACCTGCTGACGGACTGCTTTCTGGGATACGAGATCTGCGGGTTGGTCCGGACTCTGTCGATGCGGCTGCAGAAGCAGACTGGCGCCCTGAAGGATCAGATCTACGACAGTGTGAAGCCGGTTCGGGAGACGTCGAAAACGTCTCTGAGCAAGATGCTCGAAGACACACGGTCAAAAACACAAGGTCTCATTGCGCTTCCTATCGACGGCGGCCCGGTGGACATTACAACGCAGACGATGCGACGCTTGCAAGAGATGACCAACTACCTCGAGCCTCTCGCGTCGATATTGGCATCTTTGGGAGAGGGCGGTTGGAACTCTGGATCGGCTAACAACTCATCCACGACTTTGGATGTTGGCCCAGACGGCGTGAAACTGTTCGGGTCATATGCGGCGGATACTGTCGACACACTTCTGCAGAACCTGATTGGCAAGGCAAAGACACTACTGAAGGGCAAGAACCTACAAGGCGTCTTCATGGCCAACAATATCGCTATCATCACACGCATCATTCGCTCTTCAGAACTCGCACCGCTCATGGACAGCTACTCCAAGAAGCTGGCAGACTGGCGTAAGCAAGGCACGGCCATGTATCTTGAAGCATGGCGTGAGCCGTCAGGGTACCTACTGGATGTACAGTACACAAACCGTAGCAAGGAACGCCCAACGTCAGGCGGTGCAGATTCGGCAGCTATCGTAAAGTCTCTCAGCTCCAAGGACAAGGATGCAATCAAGGAGAAGTTCAAGAACTTCAACACAAGCTTCGACGATCTCGTCACACGACACAAGGCGTACGCAATGGAGCCCGAAGTGCGGAACCAGCTTTCCAAGGAAGTACAGAACATCATCGAGCCCCTGTACAACCGGTTCTACGACCGCTACCGGGAGATCGACAAGGGGAAGGGCAAGTACGTCAAGTACGACAAGACCGAGTTGAACAGGGCATTGGCGAGCTTTGCATAGCGAGGTGCTGCGGCGTTGGATTGGAGTTGTTTGCTTGGGACATGCGCAAAATACCCTTTGATTTGCATAGATAAGACGATGAACTGGATATGGGTATGCCGATGGTCGGGATGGACGCGATGTAATTGGATAGGTGTCGAGTCTTACATCCCGCGTCCTGTGGTGCCACGCTGCAGCAGCGTGAGCGGCAGCCTTGGGGTGCGACAGCGGTGTCAGGGTTGAGTCAGATAGTCGTGAGGAAGCAACGACCGCTTAATGTCTAGTCAACGCGTTGCTCGTGCCTTCTAATTACCCACACGTGACCCTACCTCTTTGGGAAGCACGGTTCGCGACTGCCTCTTGCAGCAGTGCACAAGAGCACAAAATCTTCAACAACGTGAAAGGTGTCAACTGCATCCCTCCTACACTCTCCCTCACCCGCGCTGCTCCCACTCGTGTGTGTTATTTCCAGCGGTATTCGACGCCGGCTCGCTGCTAGTGGTGACGCGGGGATTTTTGGTCTAGTGCCCATTGCTTCGGCGTTGCTCCAATCGCGCCCATCCCTGTGCGGACCCCTTTCCTCCACCCAGCGACGGACGGCACCACGACTTCCCTTTCCAACGTCGCAGCCTCCGGACAACCACGCCATTTTCCTTCGCAGCCATCTGCACCACCTTCAATTCATTGCTTTGAGTGCATCACTCACTCGAGAGCATAACTACCGCTGACTGGTACGCCGCCCTTCCCTCACGCCTGTCTCACTTTATTTCTCCCGATCTGGGCTCGGTCGCGTTGTTACATTTGTTTAGCAGCCACGCAGCCAGCACCAGCACGCATTGAGAGCCTCCGCTGACATCGCTCCCTCATCTGCAGAAGTCCCTCACTTGACGACCCATCGTCCGTTTCTACTACACTATTTACACCATGGGTAAGGAGCTCTCCCCGACCCCCGTCTCGCGACATCAACAACTACACCTCAGCCACGGCATCATTGGCACCTCAGGCACACACGCGGTGGCTCTTGGGCAACGCCAAGCAGGGTCAAGCCTGTTTGACATTGGTCGCTGCTGCCGCGCTCGACGGCCGTGATTTCTCTCCCCTGGCCCCTGGCTAACATTCTGCTGTAGAATCCAACGGTGCTACCTCTCCCGCGCCGCCCACCCGTGCGTCTCCATCGCCCCCAGCGTCGTCCAGCGGATACGGCATGGATCAAACGATGTCGATGTCTAACGGCTCCTCTCCAGCGGTGCACACCATCACGGCGAAGAACCCCAAGGCCGCAGCTGCCATGGCAAACGACATGAACATCGTGCGCAGGAAGCTCACAGGCTACGTCGGTTTTGCGAACCTGCCCAACCAGTGGCACCGCAAGAGTGTGCGCAAGGGATTCAACTTCAACGTCATGGTTGTCGGTACGTGTACCCCCGCCCACGAATTGTCCCTCCGAGCTAACGTGTCATTTCAGGCGAGTCTGGACTCGGAAAGTCGACCCTTGTAAACACGCTCTTCAACACTTCGCTGTACCCGCCCAAGGAGCGCAAGCCCCCCAGTCTCGACATCTCCAAGACCGTATCGATCCAGTCGATTAGCGCCGATATCGAGGAGAACGGTGTCCGCCTGAGGTTAACAGTAGTCGACACACCCGGCTTTGGCGACTTCATCAACAACGATGAGTCCTGGGACCCCATTGTCAAGAACATTGAGCAGCGCTTCGACGCCTACTTGGATGCTGAGAACAAGGTCAACCGCATGAACATTGTCGACAACCGCATCCACGCCGTTGTTTACTTCATCCAGCCCACTGGCCACTCCCTGAAGCCCATCGACATTGAGGTGATGAAGAAGCTCCACACCAAGGTCAACCTGATTCCCGTCATTGCCAAGGCCGACACCGTTACTGACGATGAAATTGATAATTACAAGAAGAGGGTACGTCGCTTCGTCTGCCTATCTAGCACTGCTAACAAGTACAGATTCTTGCAGATATCGCCTACCACAAGATCCAGATCTTCGAGGGCCCACGGTATGAGCTTGACGACGAGGAGACCATTGCGGAGAACCAGGAGATCATGGCCAAGGTTCCCTTCGCCGTTGTCGGTTCCAACACCGAGGTCACGACTGTTGACGGCCGCAAGGTCCGCGGGCGTGCGCTGCCCTGGGGTGTCGTCGAGGTCGACAACGAGGAGCACTGCGACTTTGTCAAGCTGCGCCAGATGCTTATCCGCACCCACATGGAGGAGCTCAAGGAGAACACTAACAACGCTCTGTACGAGAACTACCGTTCCGAGAAGCTT